GTYGTTGTTGTTGTTGTTGTTGTTGTTGAGATACTAATTGAATGTTACTGTCGCTAGGAATAATCAATAATAATGTTGTATAGTAGTTGTGATAACAATGTTGTGATCAGTTTGCAAACAGAAAGATAGAGAGAGAGAGAGAGAGAGAGAGAGAGAGAGAGAAGAACGGATAAATCTTTGTGTATGATGATGATTGGCAGTTTATGGTAACTTGATAAATGATCACTTTGCTTGAGGAGAATGAGAGAGATATAGAGACAGATGATTGTCTCAGTGTGATTGATCTGAATTCAGGTGCGTCGTTGATTGTCGTGCGAGCTAACCATCACAATCAGGAGGGCGTTAATAATGACATGACTCCACAGCGGTCGTTCAGAGCAATCAATCAACACACATAAAATCATTGCTTTGATGCATGCAGCGCCTCAAGGGACCAGGACATGCACGTCGCACCATCCGCCAACCACCCCCCTATTTCGAAAGCACACCCAAACAAATCATGTGCTTTGTCCAACAAACAACTGTTGGAGATATCGAGTGGGCGTGTGAGTGTGGGTGGCAAACATTCCCCCAACTATGGTCCAACCAACTCCAACGACTAAACAATGACAATGGTAACTGGACCCATTTTGGATGTTATGTTGTTGGAGCGCTGCTTGTGCTGCTGCGAAAGTCTTGATTGGGATAGGTCAGAGGACACAATGCGTTTATGGTGTTATAAGTCCAATGTCCTTATCTATCTATTTTCGTACGAAATAATCAAATCTTATCAGTGATGACAACAACTGATATCTTTTGTTGGCAACATAATAATCGAAAACAACAACAATGTTGTTGACTTGTACTCATCCTGTTGTCATTGAATGAATGAATGAATGGTTCACAAGTCCTTGATCATGTTGATGATGTGAGATGATAGATGGTAATTATCAAAATAAAATATATTTATATTTATAGGTTGGTGGATCATTGTGGCCTCCATCCAAACTGTTTTGATCATCATTGTTGCTCCTCCATTCATCGGGCTCATCAACAACAGTTAGAATAATCTTGATCAAAAATTTAAATTTAAAAAAATCAAAAAATCACTTCCATTCACCCCTTCATTCCCACCCAACCAACCAAAGCAAGGCACTCAGCTAGATCGCCTCCCTTCACGGAAACAATTTGTCATTCAACTTCCTCAGGTGAGCTCACATCCATCCAAATCCATCCTATCCAATTACCCATACATCATACACCCTACTCATTCACTCAATCAATCACTCACACTCTCACACATACACAACAGGACACACACACACCAACCACATTATTAGTTTGACTTACTGATTGATCAACCTGTGTTGTTTCTGTTGTGTCAAGTGATCATTCAACGACACACATCTCAAAATCAATATCTAAAACAAACAACAAATATATATACAACAGATAAACACCAAACAACCAACAACCAACAACCAACCAAACAAAGAACTAAACAAAATATGAGCAGCAACCCAATGCAGCCAAGGATCATACCAGAGATCCCAAAGAGGAAACCACCTGCAGGAGGTAATGGATCGGATCTGGCTGTGAACTCTAATGGCATGGTTACAAGTCCGAATCTTGGAAGCAGCGGTGGAGGTGGAGTTGGATACCCGCCACAATATCAGCAGCAACCACCACAACAACAGCAGCAGCAGCCTCATCCACCAATGATGAAACAGGCACCACCTCATGTATACAGCAATCAACAAGGCTTGAAGCCAGCGCCATATGTACCAACCAACCCCAACGCAAAGTCACCTCCATACCCTCCACAGTCGGGAATGATGATGAAGCAACCACCCTCACAGCAGTACTCGCCTCCATATCCTCCCCAGACGATGCACAAGCAGATGCCACCACAGCAGCAGCACTCGAGTCCTCCACAGTATTCACCACAGAGTCAGACACCGCCCGGAGTGCAAACACCTCCAATGAACTCATCTCCAGCAGGCTACAAACCACAGCCAGCTGCTCGTACCGTGTCACCCAACACGGGATCACCTCGCGAGCTGCCCTCCCCAGGCAACACGTCGCCACCCTACCAACCACAGATGATGCAGCGACCTCCCGTACAGGGTCAGGCCAAGCTACCGCCTCAGAATGTTCCCGGTAGACAGCCTCCTCCTCCTCCAGGAGGCCAGGCACATCCCGTCCAAGGAGGACATGTACAGGCTCATCCTCATCCTCACCCACCACAACAACATCCACATCCACCAATGCAGGCTAATCCACATGCACATCCACAGCAACAGCAGCATCAACAGCAGCATGCACATCCACAACAGCAGCAGCCACAGCAGCATCCTCAAATCCCTCAGATACAACAAACTCAGTATGTGAACCAAGCGCTAACTCAACAGCAACAGCAACAGCAACTTCAACAACAACAACAGCAACAACAGCAACATCAACAAGCCCATCATGCCAATCCGAGGATCATGAGCGTTAACTTATACGATGTAATAAGTCAACAGGATCACATTAAGGGTGACACCTTGGCAAAGAGTAAGTTCAACTCATTCATTCAAGACTAGACCGTGAACACAATCTCATATTTCCCTCTTCTCTCTCCCCTACTCTATCCACAGACCAAAAGCTACTGTTTGAGCTCAAGAGAGAGATCTCAATCTCGAGCAAGAAGAACTTTACATTGGAGCGAGACATTAGGAACTTGGACAAGAAGATTGCGCTGCTCATCAAGAACCGTATCACCCTGGACGAGATCATGCAGACGTCGGGCGATATCCTCGAGATGCAGAACAGGACAATCCAGATCAAGGACAAGTCGCAGCGTGAGAACTATGGTCAGCTGTTCCATCTGTTGCAGAACAACACGGGCTACATCGCATCGTTGGCCAAGCTGGTCAAGGTGGGCGAGATCGACAATCTGCTTCAGACCGTCATGTTCACGCTGTACGGTAACCAGTACGAGGAGAATGAGGAGCATCTCCTGTTGTCCATGTTCCAGCAGGTGCTGGCCGAGGAGTTCCGCGAGGCAACCTCCATTGGCAGTCTG